GAGTGCATAGTTGCTTGAGTGCGCACTAGTTTGCCTGCATTTCAAAACCGTTTTCCTGCGCATTTTTCTGAGTGTCCTTTTTGCGTCCGAAAAATGTCTAGTCGGGACTCCGATACAACGCGAAACGGACGTCCGTGAGATGCTCAAAGGACACTCGTATCGACAGAGACCCCAGCTCAAATGATCTCCATCTGACCAGGTCAGGTCAGGTCAAGTACCAAGGACGATAGAGGCTTTTATCTAACGAGTGTCGTAGTTCATGTGCCGGTAAGTGAAAAACAACCCCCGGCACTTCGACGTTGGATTGACTCTTCTTGCTTTTGAAAAAGAATGAAGCAAGAACAAGAGCAATCTTTGCACTTTCATGTGTCAGTATCAGAATACGCTACACATTCCAGTATAATTACAATATCTCTGGGAAAAGCTCAGGCCAACAGTTGTCTAAGCCCCTCTTGTAGGCTTCTACAGTTTCACATTCCACTAAATCAGAAGGGAGTTTATTCCAGATGTTGACTACTCAGTTTGTAAAATATTTCGTTCTGATGTCCAAACGAGCCCTATGTTGTTTGAGCTTCAGGCGATGCCCGCGCAGGTGGTCCGACGTAGCTAACTCAAACAGATGGGTGGGATTGATACCACTGAGTGCCTTAATGATCTTAAACGTCTCTATCAAATCCCCTCGCAATCTGCGCCGTTCTAAGGAAAATAATCCTAAGCTACTTAGACGATCTTCGTACGACTTCTCTCGTTGACCTTCGATTATCCTATTCGCAAGTTTCTGAATCCTTTCTATACACATAGCGTCACTGCGGAGATATGGTGTTCAAGCCTGAACACTACTCCAGATGTGGCCTAACCACTGCTTTATATAACGGCAAGAATACTTCTGATTTCGTGTTATTCAACGCCCTCCAGAGGCGAAACAACTTTTGTCGCGCTTTATTGGCAACATGGCGACATTGTGCCGAAGACTTAAAACTGTTCATTATGATGCCACCTAAATCGCAGACTTCATCGGCACAATACAATGATATAGATCCCGCAAGAGACTGCACTTCAATATCGCCACCACATGTATGGCATTCAGAGGTAAATCCCATTGGCTCGACCAATTCACCACAGTGATAATACCCTTAGTTAATGTTGCTCCATTTCCCCTAATGACTAGCTACAAGTCATCTGCGAAGATATAGCACGGATCCTCAAGAATAGGACCAGATCTTTTATAAACATAAGAAACAACAATGTACCCAGTACCGAACCCTGGGGGACGCCGCTGTAGGCAAGGCCCACACTAGAACTCGCTTCCCCAACCCTGATTCTTAATGTTCTTCCACGTAAGAATTCAACAATCCACAGTAATAGCTGAAGATGCAATCCAAACCATGCCAGCTTCTCAATCATCGTTACACGTTAGCTGGAGGTGGAAAACACCTCAGCTATTGTGCCGCAATACAAAAGGCAAGAAAAGAAGAAAAAACAAAACAACAACAACAAACAGTGGCACGCCCGCTGAGTCCCCAGTAACGGATGGACATCGTTCCGGAGAGCTAACAGCTGGCTGCCGTAAAAGAAAGTCATATTATGCCTAACGATTGAGATCGTGATTGGAGGGGGATGCTAAGCAGGAGGGGGATGGACAAAGGAACTCACAACACAAACGCCATTGGGGCCGGCTCCTAGCCATATCAGCAAGTGTGTCCAGCCAAACGTGTTCACCGTCCTTAGGACCCCAGCCAGGCAGTCGGGATGCACCAACCGACGCCAACTTCGAAGTGAGGGTTTTCATTTCACGCGACCAAGTCATCACTTGGCCTCCCCTCCTCCTCTTCCAACCGCACCCACAACGCGCAAACAATGCACGTCGTGGGAGTCGGTGTGCTGGCATGCGCAAGACGTGGCCCAGCCATCGGAGCCTGGTGCGTGATATAATCGTGCTGAGCGGTTCACTCGCTCTTCCTGCACCAAATACGCGACGTCGAACACGCTCATTGCTCACGCGGTGTTCCCACCAGACATGAGCTAAGCTGCGAAGGCAGCGATGATCGAACGTGACGAGTCTCTTCATGTCTGTCGACCTGATGGGCCAGGTTTCACAGCCATATAGGAGAGTTGAACGGACGGCTGCGTTGTAAACTCTGCCCTTGAGGGCGAGAGTAATGTCGCGTCTGCGCCACAGGTGGCGGAGATTGGCAAAAGCACCTCGAGCTTTTGCTATACGGTTCGTAACCTCATCTTCAATCCCACGGGTGCTAATATAGCTGCCCAGGTACTTGAATTCCTGAACGACTTCTAGCAGATCACCACCAAGCGTTAGCGCAGGATTGGGTCCCTGCCAATCTTGGAGAAGTACTTTGCATTTTGATGGAGCAAAGCATAGCCCAAAACGACTGACAGCCAGTGCTAATCGGTTCAGTGCTGTTTGGCATGTTTGGGAGCCGTCACAGATTAGGGCAATATCGTCTGCATACTCCAAGTCAAGAAGTCGCTCACCAGGAAGTAGCTCCACACCTTCTAGGTCGTGTCCAGCGAACGCTGTTTCCATGACTTCATCAATAGCGAAGTTGAAGAGGAAAGGTGACAGCGGGGCATCCTTGTCTCACACCGCTGGTGATACTGAAGGGTGGCGAGAGTTTGCCATAAACCCTCACCCTGCCCGAACTATGTGCGTACAGCGCTTTGATAATGTTTACATATTTATCAGGCACACCTTTCCTCAACAGACAGTCCCAAAAGGGCACATCGATCGACTGAGTCGAAGGCACCTTTTATGTCAAGAAACACGACAACGGTGGGTCGCCAATAAACATGGCGGTGCTCCAACACTTGACGCAATGTGAAGATGTGGTCGATGCAGCCCCGACCTCGACGAAATCCGGCTTGCTCTTCACGAATTTGGCTTTCACGAGTGCCAGTCAGTCTGTGGAGAATGAGAGAGGCAAGCAATTTAGAGGCAATCGAAATCAGACTGATCCCTCTATGATTACCACATACCAAACGGGAGCCTCCCTTGAAAATTGGGACAATGACGGAGCGGTTCCAGTCTGTCGGGACTGTCTCCTGCTCCCAAAGTTTTACTAGCAACTCGTGTAGATCACCTATTAGAGCAGGTCCACCGAACTTGAAGAGGGCTGGAGGAATAGTATCTGCCCCTGCGGCCTTATGCAATTTCAACAGCCTGATCTCACGTTCGACCTCTGCGCGTGAGGGCGGATCCAGGGAGACGGCCCAAGGAGAAGGGCGTTCAATGCCCGAAGAAAGTGATAACTCAGGGTGGTTAAATTGCATAGCAAAGTGTTCAGCCCAACGCTCCAAGCGTTTTGACAGGCTGTGGATCATCTGCCCACTCTCGTCGCGTATGGTCTCGCTAACACCAGGTCTCCTGCTGCCTGTTGCCCGTATCAGACGGTATAACTTACGATGATTACCAATGGCAGCGGCTGTTTCCATCTCAGATGCACGATGAGACCACCAGGTTTCGCGGTCCTTCTTTAGGCTAGCACGTAGTTTCGCCCTGAGATTTTTGCGAGATTCATTGTATTCGCTTCCAGCCGGAATACGTCGGCGAGCATCCATAAGTTCCAGAGACTGTGTAGAGACCCAATGTCCGGTTTGGCAATTTGTTTTGCCACATGAAGACATGCCTGCTAATAGCAACGCTTGACGAGTGTGCGACCAGTGATCTTCCCAGCTTCTCAATTAAAAAGCGATGATTTGCTGAGCCAAGGTCCAAATAGCACACCTCAACCGACATCGCACTATCAAGACATCGCGTAATCTCAGCTAAAAAGCACAATAAATAAGAAACGACTTCGTTTTAAGAAGACCATGCTGTTTTAATCTAGTTAGATTATGCTCAGTCAAATGCTCACAGATCCTGTTTCTTATAAGCTTTTCCAAGCACTTCAGCTTGACGCTGGTCAAACTAATGGGTCTATAGTTAAGAGGCGCAGACTCAGAACCACCTTGAGGATAGCAACAATGATCGCTTCCTTTCAATCACGTGGTAGCTTGCCATCCAGAAGTGACTCGTCGAATAATTCCGCGACAGGATACCGAAGAACACCAGTCGCTGGCTTAACTATGGCGGGATGTACATTGTCAGGGCCAGCTGACTAGTATTCAAGCTAGCGAACACTGTGAAGACCACTGGCAAAGTAATAATAATTTCCAGCATTTTATAACTACTTGAGCAGTGCGGTTGTGAAGGCAAGGCTGACCCGCCATCCTTTCGATGCAAACTTTGAAAGACTTGGAGCAGCACTTCCAATTTATTGACGTCCACAGCCTGGCCGCCATCCTCCATAGTTAAAAAGTCGACTGCTCTCTTAGAGAAGCCTTTGACTGAACATAGCCGTAGCAACACTTGGGATTCGTTTGCGCAAACCTGGTCAACCTAAGCTCATGAGTATTTCGCCTGCCGTTGCAACTTAGTGGCCATGTTTCGACATTAGTTGTACTGCACCCAAGTCGAAAACTCGAGTTGCTTGAAATTTGCCCCACTCAGTGTTGCGTTTCTTTATCGCTCTGTCAATCTTTCTCATCCACCATCGGTTTTTGCCAAAATAGCTAGGGTGTACGGGAATAAATTCGTTCAGTAACTGCACAAGCCCGCTTTTGAGTAGATGCCATCTCTGTACTAAAGTGGCCTGATACTGATCAGAGATGTAAGTGGCTTTAAGAGCCCAATCGCGCACCTTCGTAACATCAGTTCGATTGAAATTCCTTCCCAGTCGGTGAAACTCGGTAAGCCTCGGGGTGATCACAGAAAAGGTCAGAACGCAACCAGTGCGAAGGAGGACGAAGCGGTTATGGATTTCAGTGTTGGGATCAGAAGAACCACCAAAACCCGACGCAGTTAGTAGGCTTTCCCACATTTTCCCCAAGCTTGTGCGAATATTACCAACTCCTCAATAGTGCTCTAATGACAGCAACAACAAAATAATAAAGCAATAGTAAAATAACAAGTATATTCCAGGCTAAGCTCGACGATGTCTTACCTGCTAGGAGCAAAGGAGCCAGCAACAGAGGCACAAACGCGGAAAAAACGTGAACTGCCTGACCTCCAAAAAATGACCGTATTAATCGACATCAGCCAAGGTCATCGTGGGTAATGGTGGGCTCGCAGGTGGCGGGAACTAAAAATTGGGATGATGGGCGCAAGTACATCTTAAAATTGGATAACCGTAGTAGGAATAGGAAAATAAGCTTCGTTGGTAAGGCTGTAACGCACCGCCTAATTGCTAGGAAAGCTATTTCCACGGGTAAAGCATGGCTAGTTTCATAGTGTTGTTCAGTTCAGTTCAGTTCAGATGGGGACTGGAACGATAGGAGAATCCCGTGAGTGTTCCATCTTGAATGGATCGTTGAGCCAGGAATTGATGAAGTGCTCAGTTATTGATGGATCTAAATGGAAACACCCGTATCGCACCCTGGCCAACCAGTTAATGCCCACGTTTCCTGCCCTAGCAGTCCCTGCTTTGGCAGTCACGTGAAATAAGCAAAGGATAGGAAGAGAAATCGAAGGTACAGAATAGGGAAGTGCACTTAAATAAGAAAATAATACCAATACGTGAAGAAAGTAGAGAAAAGAAAATCGAAGTACGAAGATGCGAGTTACTCAGGAAACTGGAAAGGTTTCGTGTTGCCACCCAAGAGCGTCAAGTTGCCGCTCAAACCCCTTAACCGTAGATTCCCTGATAACACTTTCCGGAAGCATGTTCCAGCGGTCGATAACTCGGCGTGACAGCCGGATTTCCGCCCTAATCCGATCGGACCGCGGTTTGTCCAGCTTCAACGAATGACCGCGTAGAACAGACAATCTAGCGGGACTGAATAGCCCAGATAAATCTGGACCAACCTTCCCAGTCAAGATACGGTAGGTTAGGATTAGGTCTCCTCTAAGCCTTCGGTAGTGCATAGAATGCATTCCCAAACTAAGTAGACGCTCGGGGTACGTCCGTCCCCGTAATCCCTCGACTAACCTAGTACCCACTCGTAAAACCCTCTCCGGCTCCATTTTGTCCCGGACGAGGCCGGGCGGACAAGCCTGGACGCAGTATTCCAGATGAGGGCGAACGAAAGCCGAGAACAGCCTCGTAAAGATGCCGCCCGTCAAGACTCCGAAAGAACGTCGGATTAACCACAACATGCGGAAACCTCTGCTTGCGGCCTTCTTCCAGTTGTCGCCGGAGTGTAAAGCCGAAGAGTGTACGACGCCTAGGTCAGCTGGCTAGATATACGGGGTAGTTCGACCCCACCGACCAAGTACTTCGCAGGAGGACAACCTCCTCTAATTCGAAGAACGGAGCACTTTGCCTGATTTATGGGCAATAACCATAAAGTAGACCAGTCCCAAAGCTTATCCAATGCTCGCTGAATAGCTTCGGAACCCCCGGGAACATCAACAATGTTCCACAGCTTCAGGTCATCAGCAAATAGCGGCGATGGTACCTCAAGCTCCGTGGGTAGGTCATTTTGTAGAAGTGAAAAGACCCGTGTCAGCTCCTTCACCGTTCATTCAACTTCAATTTCAAGTTCAAGCGGGACTGGAACGATAGGATTATCCCGTACATGCTCCTTCTATGGCAGGTCGTTGAAACAGGAGTTGGTGGGCTTTGAAAAACTGATGGACCTAAAACAAAGACCGCATCAAACCCTGTCCAACCAATTAATGCTCACGTATCCTGCCCTAGCAATCCCTGCTGGGTCGGTTACGTGAAGTACGAAAAAAATGTAAACTCAGAAAGGAAAAGAGAAAGCGGAAAGAGCTAAGTAGGTGGAATACCAAGATATTTGATTCATTAAACAAAGAACTGAAAAGTGAAGTTGAGTCAGCTAGGAAAACGGAAACGTTTGTTGTTGCCGCCCACGAGCCTCGAGCTCGCGCGCAAAACCCTTAAACGTAGGCTCCCTAACCACATGATCTGGAAGCGAATTCCAGCTATCTGTAACTCGGCGCGATAGACGAGTTTCCATCCTAACCCTATCAGACCGTGGTTTATGCAGTTTCAGTGGGTGACCGCGGAGATTAGGTAACGTAGTGGGACTAAATAGCCCTGATAAGTCCGGGCCAATCTTACCCGTCAAAATACGATAAGTGAGAAGCAGGTCCCCTATTATCCTTCGGTAGTGCATTGAGTACATACCCAAACTGAGCAAGCGTTCAGGATACGTCTGTCCCCGTAGACCCTGCACTAACCTAGTGCCCACTCGTAACACCCTCTCCAAGTCCATTTTGTCTCGGTTAAGACATGGTGGACAAGCCTGAATACAATATTCCAGGTGGGGTCGGAAGAATGCCGAGAATAGCTTCACAAACAAATTGGCCGTTAGGATTCCGAAAGAGCAGCGGATAAACCGCATCATACGAAACCCTCGACAAGCAGCCTTCTTCCAATTGTCGCCAGAATGAACTGCTGATGCGTGCACGACCCCTAAATCAACCTACTGAGTGATAACAGGGAGTGCACCACCGCCGACAACATATCGGGTGTGAGGATTTGCAGCTCCGATTCGGAGAACAGAGCACTTGGCCCTATTTATGGGCAGCAACCATAAGGTAGTCCATTCCCAGAGCCTATCCAAGGCATGCTGAATTGTCTCAGGACCCCCGGGATATCCACAATATTCCAGAGCTTAAGGTCGTCAGCAAACATTAGTGATGACACCCCTAGCTCTCCCGGCAAGTCATTTAAATAGATCGCGAACAACAATGGCCTCAATACCGAGCCCTGCGGAACGCCACTAAGGACAGCTTGCCACCCGTACGCACTGTTCCCTCTCCTCAAGGAAGGCAGACACCCATTGAAGGGCGCGATCAGATACCCCGTAAGATAACAACTTAAGTGAGAGCCGAAGATGTGGAACAGTGTCAAAAGCTTTCGGAAAGTCCAAGAATTGCACGCCTACAGCGTGGACCCTGGCTACCGTTTCGGCCCAGCTTTCAGGAGCTACAAGTAGATAATCTGACATGAAAATCCCTTGCGGAATCCATGTTGCGCAACACTGAGTAGGTTGAACCTATTCAGGTGTTTCTCCACTGAATCCGTTATCAGCGTTTCAAACAACTTGACTACTACGCTTGTCAAACTGACAGGCCGGTAGCTCGCGACTAGGGCGCTGTCACCGCCCTTAAAAATCGGACAGATGATTGCCTCCTTCCATTCCGAAGGTAGGATGCAGCGGTCCAGCGATATTAAAAACACGCGTGTGAGAGGACCACTCAGCCCAGTGGCCAATTCATGCAACAGCTTCGGATGAACTGAATCAGGACCGGAAGCTTTAGAAGGATTAATGCCTTGCAGTAGCTCGAATACCTGAGTCTCCGTTATGCTAAACTCAGCTAAGCCAGCATCCTCTGGAACTCTTGAAACTAATTCAACCTGTGGTAAAGAGGTCTCCCGAGCAAAGACCCCAGTATACTGCTAGCCGAACAACCTCCTCGTGGTGCCAGCTGGGTGGTTCGGGTTTAACCCGTTCCAGCAAATGGTTCGGCGGCAGTGTTCCAGGACGTGGTGGGTTTTCGCCTGGCAAGCGTTCTCCCTATAAAAAGCCACAAATGTCTGCTTAACCACACTGCGACGTGGCGGATGTGACTCGCCACAAACTAAAGTCACTGGCCCGCGGATATTCGGAAAGTGCTATTCAACCCACGAAAATCAATCGCTTATTCCCACATTCCTGACGATAACAAACAGTCAAAAATTCTGCGGCGCATTCAAAAACACAAGCTACATTCCTACACAATTGGTTGGCGGCATCCGGTTTTGGATTTGCCTGTCACTGTGGCAAGCCACAGGACGCCTGCGCCTACAGAGGGACCATGGATGGCTTGCGCTGCACCACCCACAGCTCCAACCACATACCCCATATCCAGTGTAAACCCGAAGAAATAAGACCGGGAGGCATGTGGATGGGAACCACGTTTCATCAACGGAGCCGGCCCACACTCCTTCACAGGCAAACACAAGCACGCTGTATTTGGGGAATCAACCGCACACAAGGCGGTGGCTTGACCGTAGTCCGCTCCACACTGAGTGCATGGAACCGCTCTTTGAGCCTAGCACGGCCACAAGAACCGTGCACCCCGTCCCCTCCAGCAACGACCAACTGTCTCCTGGAGCCAGTATGAACGATGTAGTGGGTAATAGACAGGTAGGCACCTTGTCAACATACACATCAAGCGCAACCATACCAGAGATATCAAACTACAGTCATTCAATTTAAACAACAAGCTGAAATAAAATAAATCCAATAATGCATACAGATACGGTGGCATAACTCTTCGCTAAATTACCATATGAAGTAAGTTGGTCAGCAACAAATCCGTGATAAGTAAGAAATGTCCAAAGTTACTTAAAATGCTACAAACGCAACAAAATTACCGAAGATAAGCGCAATTAGTGTAAGCAACGTGGCCAGTTAATAGAACATTATTCAGGGAGGCAGAACAAACCAAATAAAGCGGAATGAAATTTATCCAGCTGAAAAAGACCTAGTTTAAGTGTAAGTTGGTTTAGCCCAACTGCGGTGAAGAAGCATCAAGAATGCAACATCAGCCTCAGCATGGGGCACAATTACATACGTATATACACCCATATACTTACATACACTGTTATGCCAAACATGTCCTTTTGTACAATTTGTTCACATTATGTTAGCTAAGTATGGTCATGCCTGTAAAGGTGTGCCTCGCATTGTCGAGAACAAAATTTATTTATTTATTTATTTAAGTTTACAGGCCTTGTCATATTCAGTTTGCGCACGGGTCCCGTCTGCTCGCAATAACGCTGGTGTAGACAGTTTTGCCCAGCTGCGTCTTTTAAAGTAAGCAAAAACTTCTTGGGATTAGCTGCGGCCGAGTCCGCTAAACCCTGTTAGATCTTGAGACGAACAGTTATGAGATGTTGCTTACATTTCTTTCTAATCTCTCGATAACTATCATAGGTGCTGGCTGATGGAGCTGTTTGGTCTGTTCGCCAGCATCTAGACCGTTTCTTGAGTAGGTACTCGCCTGTGGTATCTATCCATGGGGCTGTGCCCTTAACCCTCTTATCCTCATGAGTGGAATATAGGGAGTGGAAAACTCCGTAAGGTATGCATTAAATTTATCCCAGGCTAACTGGACGGAGTCAGCCATCGAGATCTCACAGTTAGCTCGCACTGCATTAAAGTCCGCCCGCCAAATATTCGGAAGTAACTCAACAGCGGTCTCTTGGTGCCTT